AACAGCTTATGGTGTGTGTGTGTGTGTGTGTGTGTGTGTGTGTGTGTGTGTGTGTGTGTGTGTGTGTTGCCAATGGAGACTTTCAGATGATTATTGAGGGTTTAAGTAAATATTTACTCAGCTTCACATTGCAATGATCTTATGGGAAGGTTTTGCTGCAATCTTACTCTCAGTATTTTGCTCAAGGACATTTAAAATGAATATCTAGCCTTCTTGAAACAATGAAAGCAGAACAGTTTAACTCTGTCCCTGCTCCTCTTGACTTGTATGCTATGGGGTAGTATTTCAATTATGTCCTTTATGAACCCAATGTATTTCATCCTAATCATTTTTATTCTTTACAGATCAGATCTCTATATCAACCCAAATGTTTGTTGATGTATCTGTTCAATTCTTTCTCAGCATCCTCTTCCTCTGACTGTGGGCTTACTTGTTTTTCTCGGCAAGTGGGCTTCAGATGCTCAACTACAAAAGATTTAAAAAGAGATAGCTCTTGCTCATTCACAAATCTTTGAATTCTCACTTTGTTCTGAAAATATAATTTTCTGGACATAATATCATAGGTTGTCAGCAATTTTTGCTTAGCACTTTGAAGATATCTCACTGTCTTCAGTCTCATTATTGCCGTTAATAATCCTTTAGTTATTTGTTTCTCAATAATTTTCCCCTCTCTGGTGTAGTACATATTGGCTTGCTTTCATGTGTCTTATAAATGTGCACACACACACATACATATGAATGTATACTTTATCCTTTTTTCCAGGTGTTCCATATATATATGATGTCAGAACTCCCTGCCTTGGAGTTATGTCTTAAATCCATCTTAGAACGTTATCAGCTATTTTTCCTTCACCTCCTGTCTCCACTGCATTCTTTCCCGGTCACTCAGAGACTGGGAATAGCTATCCACACGTGATTCATATCTCTTGATCTTATCTTCTCACCTCTTCACACCCCCATGCTCAGGTTGGACATTTTCTTCACACCCAACTCACATTGTTCTTAGGGAGTTCCCAACTTCAGTGGATCTATTGTTCCCTTACTAATGTTCCTGTATCCACAGCCATTTTAGTTGGTCTTTTACTTTGGATTTTATTTTTTAGTTACTGTAACAGATCATAGTTAATTAGCATTTTTGAAGCATAAATCTTTATTTTATTGCCACTCATTCTGATTTTTTTTTTCGAGACAGGGTTTCTCTGTGTAGTTTTGGTACCTGTCCTGGATCTCACTCTGTAGCCCAGGCTGGCCTTGAACTCAGAGATCACCTGGCTCTGCCTCCCAAGTGCCGAGATTAAAGGCGTGTGCCACTGCCGCCAGGCTGATTACTTTTCTTATATGTCTTGTGACCTTTGCGTATAAATCCATTTCACTGACATTAATTTGTGGGAAATTCAAAGATAATAAAGTGATTTTTTTCCCCAGAAATGATTAGTATGTAGCACTTGTTGGATTTCTCTGTGTGGTAAACAAATTATTGACTGCTAAAAAACAAACAGCCAAAAAAGCAAACTATTTCACTCACGTGTAAGGAATGTATGTGTATTTCTTTTTGACTAGTAGAGTTTCTAATAGGTAAGTAAAGATCATACAGGGAAATGATATTAGTGCCATTTCATTTCCCATCATCCTTCACTGTTTCATACACGTAGGTGTTACACTGAAGCAGTCTGAACCTTTAGCTTCAAAGCATTTGCAGGCTAAACAGAGTCTGTGAATGCAAATGAATACAAAGAATCATAACAAGCAAGAAACATAAACAACAATTACAAAGTAAGAGCCCAACAAGCCCAAGCACCTCTAAGCGTGAAAAGGTCTAATGATGTAAGCATTTGGCTCGCTCTTTCAAGTGACAAGTAATAAAGATGGTCGTAGCCAAATGGAGATTCCTTGGCTACCAAATTATACTTAGAAGGTTGAGGTCCCGATCATAACAATAATATTCAAACTACAGTACCCCTTTTCTACATGTATCCAGAGAGATGCCTTGTATTATGTGTGTTCACAACTCAAAATTGGGCTAGGCATACAGCTCAACTGTAAAACATTTGCCAAGCATGCTCACAGAGAGGCTACACACAGTGGCCCTGAAATGATATTTCCATATCAGGTCATAGGGTAGAAGTAGGGAGGGTCATTTGAAAAAGTTTGAAGAGTATCTGATTAAACCCCCCAGATAAAATTCTGCCATTAAAAATTTACACATTAAGAAAAAAGCCAATTTCTGCCATTTTCCTTTGTGTCAAAAACAAACAAACAACTTGTGTTCTTAGAATTTGTGGGTTAGGTGTAATATTTTGGTAGAAGCATATTTTAATTGTATTAACTAAATCCAGTGTTTAGCATATGTATTACCTTATATATATATATCATGTCTTTGTGATGAGAATATTTAAAGTCCCCTCTTCTAGTTATTTTGAACATTAATGCAGTTTTCTGTATGTAGCTTTAATAATCAGATGTAGGCTGGAGTTTTTGCACTTCAATCCATATTTAGGATGCTCATCAACTCTATATATTTGTGCTTATTTTGTTCTACATTCTTTTTTTGTTCCACATGCCAACATTAACACGAGTTTTTTTTTTTTTTGAGAAACAAGATCTTGTGCAGCTCAGGCTGACCTTGAAGTTGCCACCTAACAAAGGATAGCTTTGAACTCCCGGCCTTCCTGGATGTGTCTGCCAAGTGCTATGATTATAGGCATGTGCCAAACATGCCTAGCAATAAGTGAGGTTTTCAAACAGTTAAAAAAAAAAATCTGGCAACACTCTAAACAGTTAAATTCAGGCTGTTATGATGGCTCCATGGGCGACAGAACTTACTGCAGTCTTGATATCCTGAGGTTAGTCCCTTGGGGCTTATATTGTGGAAAAAGAGAACAGACTCCTGCAAATTTTCTTCTAATCTCCAGGAGAGTGTCATTGACAGAGAGAGAGAGGGGGGGGAGGGTGGAGGGGAGGGGAGGGAGAGAGAGAAGAGAGAGAGAGAGAGAGGGAGGGAGGGAGGGAGAGAGAGAGAGAGGAGAGAGAGAGAAGAGAGACTAAATAAATAGAAATGTGATAAAAAAATTTAAACAGGAAAACATGATTGAATCTTAGCAAAATTATAAACCAGATTACTTAAATGAAGCAAAGAAGAGATATACATCAAATTTATAGACTTTTAAGTTTATGGTGATGGTTAATATTTATATAAATTATGCCCTAAAACAAAAATAAAATTTAGAACTTTAGGTTTAAGAATATGGAATTACACAGAGCACTAAGATGGAAGATGCTGTTCAGCTTCAGTTCCTGTGATGCAGAGCCGTTCTGTTTGACTCGCGGATGTCTGCTTGCCAAAGTAAAACCTAACACAGGTTTGGGATGTCTCCTGCTGGAAGGGTGCTTGGACCAAAGGGCTCAATGATTGTTTCAGTGACTTACTGCCGTGTGTGTGTGTGTGTGTGTGTGTGTGTGTGTGTGTGTGTGTACACAAGAGAGAATAAAAACCCCAAGCTCATTTAAGACAGGGTAAAGAGTGGTTTTGACAGATCACTCTGTCATTTGAGGACCAGTGAAAGGAGAAACATTTTGAGGACACATTTCAAAACACCTCTGTTGGTTATTTATTAACCGGCATCTACTATTGCAAGGCTTGCAATATCTGTACGATTAATTTCATGTAAGTCCAATGGGTAGGTCTAGACCAGTCTACAGTTTAAGAAGAGTTGGTTTGGGTTCATAAATCTATTAATGTAAGCTGTGGAGTAGGCAGGCCTGGAGTTTAATTCTGATGTCAGTATTGGCTTTGGCAAAAAGATAATTCTGAATATCGTTTTCCCAGTTTTCTAAAATGGCAATTCATTTTAAGGCTTAGAGATGATGTAAGTAGGTTTCTTCGTTCCTGGCGTAGATGGTCAATAAACAATCCTAGTTATCTATACTATCGGGCAAAACCAGCTATTTCCAACATTGGACATGATCTGGTGGATGTTTGTCTGTTGGAAATGTTGGACAGAAGACTCTCGATGAAGGCAGAAACGGAACTTAATCATAACCCCCTTCACTGCCCCCTTTATTCCCCAGTCTTGGCCTGAGCTTGCCTCACAAAGCAGGTAGGCCCAGCTATTTAAGCCAAGTTTTATTTAATAGTCTTTCTTGGCTTCTGGAAGTCAATTGACTTGAAGTTAGAAAGGCCTGCGTGTCTGGGGGCGTAGCTGTGACAACGGAGGTACTGTCAAGGGTAAGAAAATAAGAGGTTCAGGAGAGAACAATGGCAGATTCTCATTTTGTGGCTCCCTGTGATGGACCCTGGGAGCGCTGAGGTGGCGAGCAGTTGTTCCTGGACTGAAGTCTCCCATACTCGAAACTACACCAGGCTCTTGGCAGGAGCTCCCACGAAAAATTGAATCCAAGGCGCCTTGTGAGACGGGTCTGGGCTTGCTGGCCTCATCCAGGGACTAGGGTTTGTTTGGAGCTTCTCTAAGCCAGGGAAGCCCTTGGGTACCACTTACACATCGCATGGCTTGAGGAGATGGGAAAGAAGGAAGAGACCAAGGACACAGTTCAGAGGCCGGGAGAATACCTCCCGCTGGTAGCTGGATAAGGCAGTAACTCCTGAATTGACAGTGGTCATCACTTGTGCCCCAGGATCTGGTCCCAGTCCTCTTGAGCGCTCTCTGCCTGGGGCATCACCCCTGTCCCGGGCGGTGCTCTACAGACGCATGTCAGTTCATCTGGGGAATTGTGGACACAGTCTGAGGCTGGGATCCCCGGTCTCCCATGCCGGGTGTCGTGCCCATCTTGCCGGGGCTTCGGAGGGACCCAGTCCAGAGCCCGAGGGTGCACTAGAGACTCAACCGTCCTCAAGACCCGGCAAACGGAGCCCTCTCCCGGCCGCGCCGGGCAACGCGCGTTCCCGGCTCGCTGCTGGGCATGCGCGGCGCGCGCTGGCTGTGGCCGAGAGCGAGCGGCTCGCACACATTGC